CTGCATACCCAATTCCGAGAATGGATGTATCACTGGATGCTCTGGCGGGGGCGCGATTCTTCTCCACATTGGACTTGCTATCAGGGTTCTGGCAACTCCCTCTAGATGACGAATCCAGGCCAAAGAACGCTTTCCGTACACCGCAAGGCTTATTTCAATTTAACCAGTTACCTATGGGGCTTCACTCAGCTTCTGCGGCGTTTCAGCGCCTAATGGAGTTGCTTCTTGCTGGGCTGCAATGGGATGTTTGCTTGATCTACTTGGACGATGTTATCGTCTTTCGTAGAACATTCGAGGAACACCTTCAATGATTGAGAGCCGTTTTCCTCAAAATGCGAGCCGCAAATTTCAAATTCAAACTGAAAAAATGCCACTTGCTCCATGAATCAGTGCGATATCTAGGAGACATCATCAGCTGATCAGGTATCTCTACCGATCCCGCTAAAACACAGTGTTTCAGCTCCTGGCCGACTCCCACTTCAGTGGGTGAGGTCAGGAGGTTCATTGGGTTTGCGTCGTATTACCGGCGGATCATTGCGGATTTCGCTAGTATTGCCAAGCCCTTACATGCCTTAACAGCGAAGGGGGTGAAGTTTCATTGGGGCCAGGAGGAGGAGGCCGCTTTTCGCTCCCTTCGCGACATCCTAGTGGGTGCCCCGCCTTTGAGCTACCCTGATTTTTCCAAACCCTTCTTGCTGGATACAGACACCACCAATACGGGAATTGGCGGTGTACTCTCGCAGGTCGTCGGGGGTGTGGAATGGGTTGTGGCCTACGGCAGCAGTGTCTTGTCTCCGGCGGAGCAACGATACTGCGTCACCAGTCGTGAGCTACTGGCCATTGTTTTTTTTCATACAGCAATATCGGCCATACCTGTACGGCCGGAACTTCACCGTCTGTACAGACCATGCGGCATTGCAATATGCCCTGCGCGTTGAACAGCCATCGGGACAATTATCTCGATGGCTTGAGGTCCTCCAAGACTTCGATTTTACGACCACATACCGTAAGGGCGTTCGGCACACCAATGCGGATGCTGTGTGATACCTGCCACCCGCCGCGGAGTGTGCCTGTCTCCTCGGGTCGGGACATTGTAAACCTCCGGGTAAGAGTCCGGCTTTGGCTCTTGCTGCCGCTGCCGAGGGGCCTACTGCGAGGGCCCTATCGAGCAGGAGGGTAAGGACTCGTTGCTCGGGTTGTCCGTCGTGGAATGGGGCCACCTCCAAATGGAGGACGTGTCCCTCCTTGCATTGCGCCGTCTGGCGGGTGGATCCGTTCAGGGTGTGGTGGGAGTTGACTCCTTGGGGTTACGTGACGGTGCCCTCATGCAATGGGATGCTAAGACCCGCCGCCACAGGCTGGTCGTACCCTCTGTTCTGCGAGGTAGGGCTGTTCTGGCTGCTCACGAGCGACTCCTGCACCTGGGAACCCACAAGACCCTTGCCATGCTCCAGCTCGATTTCTTCTGGCCGGGCATAGCAAGGGATGTAGATGACCTCCTGGGGGCCTGTACTCAGTGCACCCGACGGAAGCCGCCAGCGAGGGGGGCCTGTCCGCCCCTACAGTCAATTAAGGTTACCCGTGTTAATGAGCTCATTGCGCTCGACATTTTGCGCCCATTTTCCGCAACACCTAGGGGTAACAAGTACCTACTGGTTGGTGTTGAATATTTTACTCAATGTCCTATGGCTTGGCCCCTCACCAACCAGTCGGCAACAGCCATCACCGAGGCCTTCGTCCAGGGCTATGTCCTCAACAAGGGTGCTCCTAAACAGCTGCTGACCAGGGAAATAATTTCTCCAGCTCCCTCCTACGCGAGGTGTGTGAGCTCCTTGGTACAAAAAGGTTCGTACCTCCCCGTACCACGCACAAACTGGTGGAATGGTGGAGCGCCTTCATAGGACTCTCACGTCCATGTTGTGTCACCAGGTGTGCGACTCCCAGACCGATTGAGATCTTCAAATTCCGGGGGTTTTGGCCGCCTACAGGATGGCTCCCAATGCGGCTACTGGATTTTCCCCCTTCTTCTTGATGTACGGGCGGAACATTGACCCTCCTATGGAGGCCCAGCTGCGGGTCTCCGTGCCGCACGCTTAATCGAAACTGGCCGACCACGTCAAATTTAACATCTTGAAACTGACTGAGGCGCGGGAAGCCGCCATTCAAAACTCTGACTCTCGCCAAAAGGCGAACGAAAGATTGTGATCGCGCCAGTCACATACGCATGCATGGAGCCCGGGCAACAGAGCCTGGTTACATTGCCCTCAAGTGCCATTGGCAACCTCGTCAAAATTGCTTCGGCAGTGGAGGGGTCCCGTGGACGTCATACAGGTCATGCGCCCACAGTGTGTTCGTATCAACTGGGGTAAACGTTGTTGGTTACGTGCACCCCTAGCGTCTGAAGCCGTTCGTTGCGCCACATGCTTCTTCTCCACATCACAAAGGCTGAGCATGTGATGTGTCCGTTGACCCCAAGACAGTGATTTCGGCGCCTGCTCCTGACCTACCACTAACTGTTCCATCTCCAGGTGCCTTGGGAATGATGCCCTCCAGGTGCCCGCACCACCCGGCGGGGACGGCGATTGTGCGCCCAGGAAGCTGGATTTTACCACACCAGACTGGACTGCATCCACCACCGGCCTCACCGGTTTAGCCCTCTATGATGGACCGGTCACACGGACATGCGCCAAAACGCGGCGTTTTTTGTGATGTTGCCTTAACTATTGCACCCGTTCGTTGCCGCAGTAACCACTTACCTGTTCTTTCCCTTCTTGCTGCGGGTAGCGTGCATGGCTGTGCTGGAGGGTGCATCCGGTCGGGGCGGGTGATGCGGAAATGTATATTCTGTACATAGTGTTCTTTTGTACAGGTGGGTTGGGTTATTTATTGGGGTGTTACGGTTGTTGTTCATGTTCTTCTTGTTGTTGATGAGGCACACGCGGTTCGGTTTCTTGTTACGTTATTTTATTGAAGGTATTGTTGCAGCCGGGATGGCTGCGGGCTGTACGGGGGGGGGGGGGGGGGGGTGATGTATTGGTGTTAGAGGACAAACACGTCGGTTACAGCTGTAGTGGTGTTACGGGACAAACCCACATCGCTTACAGCTAGCACCCTTGGCTTACCCGCAGGGGGCTGTGGGCTTTGGATCCCCCGCACCCCTCCCAACGGGTAGGGGCTGCGGGGTGTGCTGTGATCCCTCAGAACCCCGCCCCTCGGTGGGGAATTGGTATAAAAGATGGGGAGCCAGAGAGATAGGGGCAGTGTTTGCGAGCCGAAGTCCGAAGACCCAGTTGAAGACTGAAGACCGGCTAGATAGACCCTGGAACTCCTCTGACTCGCTGTCGCTGTCCTTCTCAGGGCCGGGCAGAGCAAGCCAGCGGTGTGACCCCAGAGCCTCAGAGTCGATGTCCTTCTAAGGACCGGGTCTGTATGGCTGGTGGTCGGGACCTGAGCCTTGGCTGGGCCAGGTCAGGTAGCCTCCCTTAGAGCCCTTAGCGGAGGACCTGGGAGCATAGGTGGATAGGCATATAGCCTTGGGGTGTATCTCAGAATAGTACGGGTGAAGCGGCCGTTACCCCTTCAAGTATTGTATACGTTGCCCTGTGCCAAAGTGTTGAGTTACAATAAATAGTGGTGCCTCCACTTCGCCGTCTCTGTCGAGTGAGAACCCACTACACATGTATACATATAAATGTACATACACATATTCTTAGCTCTTTCGGTAAAGCCACGTTGAAGGGAAACAATAAAATATATATTAAACAATATTTTATTATTTTATTGTTTCCCTTCAACGTGACTTTACCGAAAGAGCTAAGAATATGAATTACTGCAGTCACGAAAGCTTTAAATCAAAAAGTACAAACACATGTTTCCATTTGTGTGCCTTCTTCTATTGTATGTGTATTTGTCCAAGCTAGGCCATAGCATCATCATATACAATGTTCAGTGCTCTCAGTCCACCATTCAGTCTGGTCAGAGACAATAATTAACAATATGCAACCAAGCGGTTGCATACCTGATTGTGCAGAGTGGGCACAGTGAATCAGCTTTCATGTCGCGTCTCCTGTGACAAACTGAGCAGAGCCTTTGCTCTGCTCGGAACGGGATGATCCAACCATCAGTCCGAGTGCTTTGCTGGTTAATAGCCAACAGATCCTCGACGCCACACCGCCATATTATTTTTGGCAATTGGCCGAGCACTCAAGATGCTTACATTGATTGACCAACATCTTTTTTCATCTCACATTTGTTGCACATATGCCCAAAGGCTTAACATTTATTCTTGCATCCGTGTATATATGTGACAAGAGTACGATTTTTTATCATCCTCTCCAAACCCCTCAACAAGTTGCAGAGGGGTTTGGCAATATGCATTATTACAATGGCTATGCACACCCACTAGATTAGGTGCCACATCTCTAAGTACAGCTGTGGGGCAATCCCTGTGTCCTGCATTTGCATCAGGATTGAATGTTATCCACAATGAATATTGGTTATACCGATTTTTCCCAACAAAATGGTGTCTAAATTGGAAAAATAACAGGGTGGAGTCATTTTACGAATAGTTTTTGTTGCCAGAACTATCCAATGTAGTAACATTTGCCCAAAACAGTCTGTTCTCCTATAAGACATATATTAATAACGTGAATTGGATATAACACAATTAATGTATTTAAGAACACATTTTTACAACGCAGATGCGAATTGGATATAACATGATTAAGTGAACAGAACTACGTCACGTGAGTAGGAATGCGAAGTTGTACTGCCGCTTTGGCGTAGCATCACACAAAGCGGGATGCTGCTGGATGCTTCTAGATGCTACCCATGCGCCTCAGTCTTTGTTAAACCTGCGTATGCATGATACGTGTTATCGCGGACTGTCCTTTACCCTATATTATTATAACGCGATTTTTCCATAATGCAGTGTTCTTCAGGAACGCAACTGTATATTTTGAAGTAGTTTTGATCATTCTCCTTATTCTTATATTTTTCAGCAAGACAGATTGGGAGATATTTGCTTTTCTTTGAGATATATACCATCAACCGGAAAGTTAACCATTGTTATTCTCGAAGCAAAAAACTTAAAGGTCATGGACGTCAGTGGAGCTTCAGGTGTGTATACCAATATTTTGTCAAATGTGCACAAATGTTTGCATCATTACAATACAATGAGTTCCTATTTTTATTAAAAGGCAGTTTATCAATGGTGGGGAAAATATATAAATGTAATGAAATTGCAGAACAAAATTGCCATATCAGTTGGCATCTTACCGAGGCCATCGATCTGACTAAATAAGTTTATTCAGGAAGTATTATGGAGAAAAAAACATCTGTGAATGTATTATATGTTCAGAATTGAATGAAGCTGTTTATTATCCTTAAATTGTTGTAAAATCCAGCTTTAGTGTTTCCATATCAGTGTTGAAATTGTAAAAAAATATCTTGATAGTCTTGCAGTACACCTTTTGCCAAGTGCATTCAATACAATGTGGATATATACCACAGATAAATGCAACTAAACCTCAACAAGGCGTACAAAAAGTGGCTGTAATTATTTCTAGAGGCAGTTATAGGCAGAGGGAAAAAAATGAAGGTCGTCTCTTCAACAACACTGGTGGCTAAAGGAAGGACATTCCAGAATATATAGGCAGGAAAGGAAAAGGAGCAACCTCTGCCTGAGAGCGAACGTTGACTAAGTCTCAATACAATTCCGGAGAGTTGAGATTTGGGGGAAGAGAGATGGAGAGCTTTGGATCAATAACAACGCCAAGATTTTGCACAATCTTTTATAGTATAATGTCAGAGTTTAGCAGCTCCATGCTCAAACTGTAGTCCTTCCTGAGTGTGGACTTTTTGATGGTGAGGAACATTTTGCTGGAATAAGTTAGAAACAATCCAAGATGAGACTGCTTCAAGGCAGGATGTGAGAGTAAACAGTGAGGCTGGGTATATGGGGTTAATGACAATGTAGCTAAACAACATTAAAACTAGAGATTGTGTTGCTGAGATTGAGCAGATATCTTAGGAAGAATAGAAAGACAAAATTTGAACTTTGTGGGATGCCATAGCACAGGGGGTTCATTTACAGGAAGGCAGTCCTTGTTTGGAAACGTAGGAGTGATTTTAAAGGTAATAACAGAACCACAAGAGAAGTGTGCCCAAGACGTGCATATTTTGGAGATGTTCAAGGAGAATGGCGTGGTCTATGGTGTCAAAAGCAGTGATTCAAGGTCTGAGGAGACCCGAAAGTCATTTACCACACATAGGAAAGCAGTTTCAGTCGAATGACCTTGGCAGAAACCACATTGTACTGGGTTCTGGAGACCTTAGAGGAAGGGGAGTTTGGAGAGACGGAAGAAGATAACCCCTAAATATATATTTTTTCTGAGGAAAGGGAGGTTTGAGAAGTGTGCAACGAATATGGGTCCAGTGTTGTTGTTTTTTTAGATGAGAGTGCTTCTTGTACTGAAACAGAAACGGCACTTTCACATGTTAAAGACACCTAGAGAAGGTGCCATTTCCTTTTCAGTGGGATCACTGTTCTTTCAATTACTGCAAAATGTGCATGACCTTCTCATAGAGCTGTTGTCTGTTCAACATCACCCAAATTCAAACGAAACCTAAATAACACTGCATGGAAATAGCGAATACAAATACAACGGTATATTCAGTTTGTTACACCACATGCTAAAATAGCAATACAGATCATAATATTGCAAGAAAATGTTTAAATTCACTTTACTACATGCGCAGGACAGTGCTAATCATCCTTCACTCGTGTAATGGTACATCTGGTACGTTTTCGTTCTGAACAGACCCTTACGTCAAAATCCAAGTCATGGAGGGAGGAATAAGACTGAAGAAAAAGAAAACAACTGTCAAGAAAAAGGCACTAAATCCGTACTTCAATGAGGCGTTTTCATTTGATATTCCATTTGAGAACATAGAGGTAATGCAACTCGTCACTAACCTTTCAACATTTCAGATGTTCTTCTTTGGTTCTTTCGGTAAAGTCACGTAGAATGAGAATAAAATAATAAATTGATAAAATAAAATAACACAATAATATTCTCACGACGTTTCGGCCACAACACAAGTGGCCTTCATCAGGTGAAGGGACGAGACTGTCTGGTAGGACAGCGCTGGAGTGAAAAAGCCACGCTCAGATCACGACCTTTAAGCTGTGTGAGAAAAAACAAAGCGCCTTGACAAAGGAATTAGCATATAATTTAGCATTGAAATGGCTGAGTGATTAGCTTGTAACTGGTCACAGAAATAGCTATGTTAAAGTCAGAGCATACACATTCACCGAGGCACCTAGTACAAATCAAAGAGGAGAATTTAGCATTGAAATAACTAGGCGAATTTAGCATTGAAATAACTGAGTGATTAGCAAGTGACTGGTCACAGAAATGGCTATGTTGAAGTCAAGGCCTACACATCTGAGCTATTCACAGTAACTGGGTATACAATATAATATATCATGAATACTATATAGTGAACCAATAAAAAAACTAAAATATAAATTACCTTAATGTTATCAATAAACTCTATATTCTCCAATCAGCTAAGCTACCAACAATAAGTCGTTATATATCACAATGCTATATGGCGAAATTTCAGATGTTATCAGCGTTATTCGTTTTCTAAAAGGTGTATAATATATTAATTGCATCATATCGACATTATTCACAAGGTTATTCTAATACAGGGGTCCGCAACATTTCAAAGGAGGCCCATTTTTTTTGTCTTTGACCAAAATAGTTCCAGAGCCACATCACACGCAGAGCTACTTGTACACAAACACAGATACTGCAGGTATACAGCAGATGACAAACAAATTCTGATAAATAAACAAAATAGGTGATGAAACAAACTGAGTATTTCGTTCCCCCCCTACCCTTAGTTATTCTTTAACAATAGTTTGACTTTACGTTTGTTGTCATTAAGACATTCAATAGTGACCCAGTCCCTGCCATATATAATCAATTATCTTTACATTAAATTATGTTTAAGATTTAAGTTTGTTTTAAAAACGGCTGCCCGCAAGAGGACAGCCAATGAGCCACACGGAAGAAGCCAAAGAGCCACAGCATGCGGCTCTGGAGCCGCAGGTTGCCGACCCATTCTAATACAACGTTCATTATATATACAGTAGGACTCCTTTATGAGACCATTTTACGTGACATGAGCTTCCGATAAACGATGCTTCCTGCTTCTATGGATCACCCCTTCCTGTTATTCTAGAATTTTAAATAATAAAAAGTCATGGATGGGTTTACTGACATAAGGTTAAAATGGAAAATAATTTCACCCGAGATACTGCAACCTCAAGTTACTGGGGCATAGTTCTAGCACACGTCATCACCCTTAGCATGCAACACATGTGATGACCATTAAAATGCCATGTTATTTCTAACATGGTGGGCTAGTTGGAAATATATGGATGGACTCACGGATAAGGAGGTCCCTCCAAACTGATGGGATTTATTTATTTATTTTGGAAAATGTATCACTTGTATTGCAGATCACACACAAAACTTGTATGAGATAAAAACAGCGTACTCATCACTGCTTACTTGCGCCAACAGAAAATCCAGCTGGTTTTCTCAGTGATGGACTATGACAGCCTGAGCCGGAATGACGCGATTGGGAAGGTGTATGTGGGCTGTGGAGCCGCGGGCGCCGGCCACCGCCACTGGTCAGACATGCTCGCCAATCCTCGCCGGCCCATCACACAGTGGCATACATTGCAGCCTGTGGAGGAGGTCAAGGCCTCGCTGGGGAAGCTGGATACTCCTCTACCATAACATCCGCACCACCCAGATTATGGTTTATCAACAGGTCGACCTCTGTAGTCTCTCAACCTCACTTCACATATATAGTATATCATCGATTATCCTGCGGCTTCGGGAGAAGGGAGCGCCGAATTTTCAAAAACGCCGGATAATCACAACATTTAAAATACTGCAGCTTATTTTTGCACGTTCTTGTATAGCATGTGTTTAGGTGTTGTGTTTATGCTCTTGTGCTTTAAATGTGTTCACTATATGAAACTGGCATAAATAACCATCTTGATTTGAAGCTTTCGTGACTGCAGGAATCCATACTCTTTGGTTCTTTCGGTAAAGTCCTATCTTACAGTTACAGGCTAATTTCTCACATTAACATCATGCTAATCTCTCACATTAACATACCCACTTCCGTGCCCTCGTCGAGGAAACCGCTTTTCTATCTTACAGTTACATGCTAATTTCTCACATTAAGATCACTAGCCCCCGCCACTTCTTTATGACCCTTGGGCTACACCCATTTATTGTCCTGTACTTACCACTCCAATCTCGAAGACTGCATGGAGTGATGTACATACTATGATCTTGTTTCAACAACATATCTTTGATGATCACTGGACTGATGCTGCCTCTAGACTGGAGCTCCGGGGAGCTTTTCGCCAGATCGCACTGTATATTTTCTGTTATTACTGTAGATGTCATGAAAAATGCATATGCGTTCAGTATTTTCATTGTTTAGGTTGTCTCCTGCCCGAGCCACCACCCCACACCTCCAACTTTTTTTTCTCCGACCATAATTCTACCTTAGTTGCCTTTCACAATCACCTGTTAACACCCAGCATCAAGCTACTGCGTGTCACCCATGCAGCCCACTTGTCAACCTAAGCTGTCTCTCAGCCAACCAAGCCCTCTGCTCTTTCCAGTCAAAGTGAAGTCTAACTTACGTAGGTTCTCAAACCCGCGTGTTCCTCTGTCTCTCAATATGATTCCAAATATGCATCTCTCCAAGCTGCATTGCACACTTTCCAATTGACATGTACTGTTTAATTACTATGTTGCAACAACACACAAAATGTGAATTCTGTGTAAAAAAAAAACCCAGCCTTATACAAAATGCAAAACCTCAAGGTTCTGAAGAATTGCATTGTGGTCATCTTGTCTTATGTCACCATAGAAAAACTGAGAACATGTGACCAACTGCCAGGAAGCAAGCAGTGAGACATCTGTAGACCGATTTTCTGTTGCTATGGGTTTTCATCCAATTTTTTTATATTCCTCCATTTATATTTATACCATTTTTTCCAAACCAAAAAAAAATATTTTGAATAACTTTGGTGAAACGTGTCACAGCATGTCAAAAATGCATAAAAATGGTTGTGCTAATTCAATAACTGTTGATAGCACAATTACAAACAATTATGTTTTAAGAAATATAACATTCTGCATCAGATTTCTGAACAAGAGAAACTTGTAACTGTGTGGAGTATAACGCGTTACAGTTGCTGCCACATATATACGCATCAGTTTAGTCAGGATTGAGTCGTTAAATTATGCATCGAGTGCAGTTGCATCAAAGGCGTGCAAATTCGTGCTTTTTCCCTCTTCAAAAATTTCACATAAATTATTATGGACTGCATCTTCGCACAAAGAGGAACACTGAGGTACTACCTCTATTCCAACGAGATCTGATTATGTCATATACCATTTAAAATGTGCACCTAAATGATCTCTGCTTCCCAGATGGTAAACACTACATGGCAAAGCACTCATATGAACATTTTATTTATATATGTATTAAGAATCCATTAAATGTAAGGATGCTTACACACTCCAGTTTTCGAGTTGTACTGTATTTGCCTTCCCTGCAACAAAATACGTATAACCCTCTTATTTGGTCTCTAAATGTAATACAATTAATGTGTTGAACAGTTTGTCTTACCTCAGGAAGTCTCATTTCCTACTTGAGTTGTGACATATGTAGAGTACTCGTTTTGTGAAAAAGGGGAAGGCGTGGGAACAGCAGGAAAATTTACGTGTTTCAAAACTCACACGTCGCCTTCCAGATCGTAATTTCCATGTCATAATTTGACATTGCAGAAAATAAAGTTATACATTTGTTTTACTTAACTTTACCTTTAGAGATGGGCAGTGGGATGAATGTAATTGCATTACACATGGTAATGTTGATAGAAAAAGGTTACGAAACGATCAGCATTTGTGCAGTAGTAAATGCATAAGAAAACAATACGAGATTTGTCGTGAAACCTCAATGATCTGGCCACATTTAATCGTTTAACCCCTCAATCACCCGACATAGCCAAATAAATCAAACTGCCATGTGTGCAAGCATTAAACACACCAATTATTATTGACTGGCTCAAAAGTGAATGGAAGGACAAATCTCACTACGAAATTAACAATTAGATGCAGCGTTTAGCTTGAAACCACGCACAGCATTCTCAGTTCATGAAACCTGGAAAGTCAGAATAACCGTGTCGCCTGACCTGGTGTCTTAAACAGGTGGTATCACGACGTGGCCAAAAATGAATTATGAATATTGGCTGAAAAAAACCTACATGGTATGGGAAGAGCTGGTCTCCGTGCCATAAGTTAGTTGGAGCTCAAGCAGGTTTGGCCTGGAACCTCCCGCTCACAGCCAGTGGGGTCAAGGCACAAGGGAAGAAGGGTGAGCACATAGCAGTCCCCCGTTGTCTTCCCACAAAGTGGTAACTCCTTTTATTGGCCCCTAGAAGTATAACGAGCTAACTCCTGACCAGGATTTGAAAGCGTGTGACTCTCCAAGTGCAAACCGCGCACAAACCCCTATGCCACCCGATCAAATGAGTGAGCAATAATATAAATGATTACATATATTTATTGTTCTTCTTTGGTTCTTTCGGTAAAGAACCAAAGAAGATGAATCATTGCAGTCACGAAAGCTTTAAATCGAAATATTTATTGTTGTTGTTACATTTGCAACAAGATTAAATGCCATTGCGTGTATCTGCACCATCACGCTTGGAATACATTATACTCAGATGGTACAGTAGTTTGAAGTGCTTTAGCCACGTTCCACAGCATTGAATTACTGTACTGTATATGAAGGTACAGTATAGATTCTCGCAGCTAAACAAAACACGCCACCACAGAAAACAGGAACGACGGCAATTACTCATGTTGTAAAGATAATAGCATGGCTGTGCTATGTGGTGCACAACAGCATTACAGCAAAATCACGTGTACTGTACGTCTATGCTCCCTTGTCTATGCCCTCACCTTCAACAACCTGCACTAACCATCGTGGCGAAGTACAGAAAAAAACACGACCCTCATCCAGCAGTGCAATGAAAGTGCCGTGCATGTGCAAAAGCACTGTTTACTAATGATTAAATACAATAAAATAACGTCCAGCAAAACTACTGCACTTCCTCATTTTCGAGATTGGTGTATATATCAGTTACCCTCCACACACTTCCTGCTCATTGGATCAGTTGTGCTGTGGAAGAATCCATATTTCTGATCAAGGTATGCAAACGCATTTTCTATTTCACCTGAAAACAATGTTACGACGTGTTGTTATACCGTGAACCATATATAAGCATGACATGTTACTATTGCATTTTCTAGGCCTCAAATTTCCAACCACTCCGTTATACAATGTATTGTCGAATGCCATGTTAAAGATAGTCAGCACGTCCCTTTCATTGATATTAATAAATGATTTGGAAAAAAATACTTTCATGCTTATACAGCAGCAATAAAACAACGTTTTGTATGTATTATGAACTTATTTCGCACCGGATGTATCCAACCATGCTACTCGGAGGTGCCCAATAAATCCTTACCGAATCTCAATGCTCTTTGTCATAAGTCTGAATTTGCATCCAATTAAGCATTGCCATCTGTGTTTGCGTGAAAGCAATATATTTCTACCATGACTCGGAGATAGTGTTGAACTTACTAGAAACGTTTTGATAGACCTGAGATAAGAAATATGTGGTCTGTGGATAAGGTGTCAACCCTACATGTAAATGGATTATTTACTGAAACCTAGGGGCCACTGAGACCTGAAGTCTCCATTTCAAGGAAGAACTGGGTAAAATATTTGCCTAATTCCTATTTGGAAAATGTTGCATGTGGGTGGAAACCACAATACACACATAAAACACATACTGTACACTTTTAAACCGATAGGTTAGAAACACTTTTTATGCTGCCAGCTACTGGCCTCATTATATGGCACCAATTTAGTGGTTCTCCCCAATGGGTGTAATATACATAAATCATCGCTATGTGCGAGTTCTGGATTGGCGAGTTTTGCATATTCGCGAGTTACTAAATGTATACTAATTCCATATTCGCGACTTACGTAAGCTCACGGACTCGTGTTCGCGAGTTTACGTAGTGCCGGACCACCGACACCTGGGAGGTGCACGCAGAATGTTGTTACATTTGAAACTGTCTGCAAAGAATACATTCCTGCGGAGGGAGCTGGTTGGAACGTTGGGTTGCTCGGTCAATGGCCAGGGTCAACGGCGGCGTGGTGTATTCCGCAAATATGCCCGACTGTGAGGGCGGGCACAAGCCAGCAGGAGTAGGTTAAATGTTGAGTTTTATAAGGGCACCACGGGGTGACCAGCCCCTCCCCACCCAGCCCCACCCCACCCAGCCCCACCCCTCCCACCCCCCACCCCTCCCACCCTCCGCACCCAGCCCCTCTCCACCCTCCCCACCCAGCCCCTCCCCACCCTCCCCACCCAGCCCCTCCCCCACCCTCCCCTCCCCTCCCAGCCCCTCCCTACCCTGCCCTCCCCACCCAGCCCCACCCCTCCCATTTTTGGATGCACGACGGACGGATGGACACAATAATCCCCTGTGGGCTGGTGTAACCAGGATGTTTCTACCAGTATTAAGCAAACCCTCTCAGCTGTCCGCTTAGTCCCGCAGTGATCCTGCTCTGAACTCGCTATTGTGCATGTTTTTACGTTTACGTACTTGCTTGTTAATTGCCCTTAATTATGGTTCTCAAGTGGATCTCCCTTGCCAGTCACAAAATATAAGAATATATTTTACCCTTTCTGGCAATAAAACAGTTTGTGTTAAGATGTTAAAAACGCCTAACAGAAACCTTTTGCAAGGAATCATGTCTGCATTAACCACATATACTTGTGGTGAACATGCAAACAAAATACATGCTCTGGTAGCATATGTATTGTCTTTGAAACTGATTGGTCCACACCAGAGACAACTTTCTTTAGAGCCTAGTCTCAAACAGTGTTAGACCAGAGGACGCCAAAAGGCGAACAGCACAAAGACAATGCACTATCAGGACATTGAGAGTTCAGGACATTGTAGCTGCTCACCCCGAGCTCTCAAAACATACAAACAACATGCTGTGATAATATATGCATTGCCTTGCAAATGGTTATCTATTTGGTGTTTTAACATCTTAACACCTGTTTTTTTTTTCCAGAAAGTTTAAAAACCCATTCTTATTTTTCAGTCTATGGATTGTAGGCATGTGCCACGACAGTCAGTTAAATTAGCTGGGGATCAAAATCAGGGGGTTCTTACATGTGTGTGTTTTTTTATGAGCAGCTGTTGGTTATCACTGAGAGGACATGTGAGGGCTGTGTGTTTATGGGAGGGGGGCAGAGACGGTGTGGATGTTATTATGTTGAGGGGGAGCATATGGAACGGAGCGTGGGGAAAGCAATAGCAAGGTGTAAGAGAGGGTGGGAAGATTGGTTTAAGTAAAGCACAGGTGGAATTGAAGATAGGGCAGTAAACAAGGTGTTAAAAGTGAGGTCAAAGGAGTCACGTAAGAGCATGGGGGGAAAAGTAGGTTCAGTTGGATTGAGAAACTTCTAAAAGATAGGTGGGGCTAAGTGGTGAGTGGCAGGAGGGTGAGCGAAGTGCGTGAAGCAGAGGCGGACGAGCAGTGAGTTGGGTTAGTAGATTACCGAAGTAAAGAAAATATGAAAGTTACCCGAACATGCATTTCAGGGTGAGCATGTAACACTTTTTTTTCTTGTCAACATTTGCCTCCTACTCTAGACGTAGTTACAGAGGTGGTTGTGCAAGGGGTGTGGACACGTCTCATCTTATCCATATATTGGCAAAATTAAAGGACGCTTGACCCGGACAGCGTGAGTGTGCCTTCGTGCGACAGTTCGCAACACAGCCAATGTTACCCAAGTCACAATAACCATTCCATCCATACGTTATATGTCAGACACCGCTTTTGCACAGTGAATACTGTACGGGCACGTCAACCGAATGACAGGCCGGGAGCAAGGGATAGGCACAGCTGCAAAGTAACCATCTTAGCCACTGACACATCATATCACTGAGCCATTGGCAAGCACATTGTCTGACAAGCCTAAGCTCTAATAATACAAAACACGTTTTCAGCTGGGGACGTACCCGTAATATATCTCGCAAATTCCTTTTGAACAGAATGAAGACTGACTTGAAGTGGAGAGACATGAAGTTAATTTTCTTCTTGTGTCTCCTGAATGGAGTGCCCGCTGCTGGAAAGCACCCAGAGATTCGTCGCTGGTGGCCCAGCACTCTGCCTTGTGACGTCAAAGTGTCCCAAAAAACGAACACATCCGATGCGGACATTAAACTTTCCTGCGACAATAGAAATTTGTATAACGTGCCAAAGAACATCCCAGCAAACACCACAATATTGATCTTAAGTGACAATAATATCAAGCTGGTTCAACGAGAACATTTTTTCGACTGTAAGGTACAGTATTTTATAATATTAACATGCATCTCAATTACAAGCAGACATGCCACTTTCATTATTTAAAGTGTATTTCAAGTGTTCTCTATGAGGTCCATTAAAAATAATGTGAATGCAAGCAGTGAAAGTGTTGTGTTATCATGGGATCTCCCTTGCCAGTATAAAAATATAATCATAGGTTTTACCCTTTCTAGCAATAAAACAGTTGTGTCAAGATGTTAAAAACGCCAAATAGAATACTTTTGCAAGGTATCATGTCTGCATTAAACACATATACTTGTGGTGAACATGCAAACAAAAAAACATGGTCTGGTCGTATATTGTCTTTGTGTTGTTTGTCAAAAGATGAACAACACAAAGACAATAAATTATCAGGACATTGAGTGCTCAGAACATTGTAGCTGCTCACCCGAGCTCAATGTCCTGATAGTGCATTGTCTTTGTGCTGTTCGCCTTTTGGCACTTTCTGGCAATCCCCGAATGTAAACATAAGCACATAACTACTAACTTTTATTTTTAATGCAGATGTGTTTGGGTGATTTGTTCACATATTCTTGGTTCTTTCGGTAAAGTCACGTAGAAGGGAAATAATAAAATAATAAAAATAACACAATAAAATTAAATACGACGTTTCGACCACAACGCAAGCAGCCGTCCTCAGCTGAAGAACAGAGCTGTCGGAAAGACAGCATCCTAATTAACACTGCTAAGCTTGGAAGCCTATTTTAATTGGGTGGGAGGAGGAGAGCGCCTTGACAAAGGAGTTTACATATCAACAGAGGAATTTAGCATATTGATGACATGCAGATATGGGGTTAGTCACTCCTTGTGGAATCTGTAAGGGGTGGGGGGTCTCAAAGTCATATTATGCTAGTGCATTATGTAGCATTAGCAGTAATAAAGGGAGGGAAATTTTAATAATAAAGAACTGCATATCAAGCTAGCCCATTATGTTGAAAACAAAAAAAGAGTTTCTAATATACTCTCCAATAAGCTGAGCTATTAACATTAAGTAACTGGGTATACACTACACTATATAATGACTACCATTTAGTAAACTGATAAAAAAAACTAAAATATAAACTACATCAATATAATCAATAAACTCAATATACTCTCCAATAAGCTGAACTACTAACAATAAGTCATTATACATTACACTTCTATGTCGAAAAAGTGGCGTTTTTTTCTTTAACGTTAGCACCACAGAAAGCGGCGAGCGTTGTTCAGACGGACGAGTCCATCTATGCTCTGAAGGGAGGAGGGGGGAGAGAGAGAGAAACAACCACGGTGTGCTACTCTGTCCTGTGCTGCGTTTCAACTATGCTATAAACTAGACTACTATACATTACAATATTATACCTTCCAATCTAAACTACATTGTATGATATCGTATACATAGCCCAATATAAGCTCTAACAGTATGCATTATATTGATATGCCTCCAACTAAACCTTTTTCTACATCACACGACTATACACCGTACTATACACTGCCATAGACAAACCCCAACATTGAATTATACACTACCTTAAACTATACATTGTAATATTACACTATGTATTATTCTACAAACTCTACTGTATACCACACAGCTGTATATTCACTATACAATTATGATACTATATATTACCTTATACATTCTATTAAACATTACACTTTCTTGCTGTGGGTTTCACACCTGATGATGATTGCTTGTGTTGCAGTTGAAACATCGTGAGAATTTTATTGTTTTATATTTTTATTATTTTATTGTTTCCCTTCTACGTGACTTTACCGAAAGAACCAAGAATATATATTGATGTAGTTTATATTTTAGTTTTTTTTCAGTTTATTATATGGTAGTCATTATATAGTGTAATGTATACTCAGTTACTTAATGTTAATAGCTCAGCTTATTTGAGAGTATGTTGAGTACATTGATTATATTGATGTAGTTTATATTTTTTTCACATCGGTCTATTGTATGGTAGTAGGGTATTTGCAGTTCTTTAGAAAGTCCTTTTTTTGTTTTCCACATAATGCACTAGCTTAATATGCAGTTCTTTAGTGTAAAAATTTCCCTCCCTTTATTACTGCTAATCCTACATAATACACAAGACCCCCCACCGCCTACACATTCCACAAGGAGTGACTAACCCCATATCTGCATTTGTCATCAATATGCTAAATTCCTCTGTTGATATGTAAACTCCTTTGTCAAGGCGCTCTCCTCCTCCAACTCAGCTTAAAATACGCTGCCAAGCTTAGCAGTGTTCATTAGGACACTGTCTTTCCGACAGCTCTGTTCTTCACCTAAGGATGGCTGCTTGCATTGTGGCCAAAACGTCGTGAGAATTTTATTTTATTATGGTTTATATTTCTTATTTTATTATTTCCCTTTTACGTGACTTTACCGAAAGAACCAAGAATATGAATCCCTGCAGTCACGAAAGCTTTAAATCGAAATTTTATTTGTTTACCTTCCTTGTACTTGTGTAGTGAGTGTAAGAGCCATAAGACAGAAAGTGAGTATTATTTCTGTATATACATTTGATGTACATCCGTCATACATTTGTTGACGGACTGGTTATATTTGATTTGGAATATCCCAACTGTGTAGAAACCCCCCTGTGGTTAGACGCTCCGTTGGTTGAACCCATGACGTAACTTCCGGTTTTTTACAGTATCAACGGGGGGCTACGAGAAGAGCCATTTGGGAGCGAGTGGATACAGTCTTTTGACCGTGCGACGGGGTGATACAGTACGTGAACAGGCGATGATATAACTTTAGAAAACGCTCGTTTTTGTGCAACTAAGAAATAAAGAAACAGTTTGATTTAAGACACCTCAAACACGCGTCAGACTTTTTGCTCCCACAAGTTAAGGCGTAGCTTATTTTCTGGTACAAGAAAGCTGCGCCTACAGTGAGTCCAATTGAGTCGCAGACGTTGTCTTGGGAGCAACACTATTTATTAAGCAACTTCAACCTAACATCACAATATCTATACTTGGGTATCGAATGCCCATCTAACCACGCTACGGCAGAAGTAGACATGGTTCGCTATCCCGGCCCGGACCACAAGCTGGGTCCCGGACCGCGTGGCTAGAGGCTTCTTCTCCCTGACGTGGATCTTCTTCACACCAGCACACGAAGAACCCCGAGCGCCTCACGGGGCCCCCGTTATATCCCCCTGGGCTGGGGCTGGCTCCACCCTTCACCCCGCCCACATTCCAGATCTCTCGAGCTCTTTCTCGAAGGCTCCCGAGAGCTCTTTTAGACCACGTGACCGCCCAATGACCCCCGTCCACCAGTGGCCCTCATCCAATATCCGGCCACGTGTCAGCAGGTCAACCAGCATATTATGCCCCAACATAACCCTGGCTGGCTGGTGCTCCCTCTCGGTCGCTCACCGGGAGCTCACACCGCACACTGCTCGCGGTGCCTCCGCGCTGACCAACGCTCACCCAAGCCGCGCTAGGGCTAGTACTACACCCCATAAGCGGGCTACACATATTGTTAACACATTATCCGCCGTGGCTTCGTAACCACGGCACCACACAATGACAATCACAGTCACTACATCACCCCCCCCCCCCCCCCCCCCGTAGCTTCCAGCCATCCCGGCAGCCAACTTCCCCCCAAGGAAGCAACCGACGTCTAAATATACAGAACATAACAACAAGTGTGCTCCAACAAACAAAACAACACAATTAAATTACCCAACCCAACTGTACAATATATACATTCCGAAAAAAAGAAGAAAAAATAACGAACAACCCAATAATCCTACTCTTTGGTTTTATTCGGTAAAGTCATGTAGATAAAATAAAACAAAATAAAACAATTAAATCACGACGTTTCGGAGGCAACACAAGCTTCCGTCTTCAGGTGGAAAAGTCAACGCAGAATATCTGTGCTAGGAGCACAGTTCAGGGACGACCTTGGATTATATACAAGTTAAGGGAGGGGGGAGGAGTCAGTAAGGGGGCGTGGGTGGGTGGGAGGGCTGGGCTAAGCAGTCTTTTGATAGAATGCCGCAGGTAACACCCACTTCTCAAAGCTCACATCAAAGGGCCCCCCGATGTGGGCTCACATCAAAGGGTCCCCCGGTGTGAGCTCAAATCAAAGGGCTCACATCAAAGGGCCCCTGAGATGTGAACGAATTCTTCTACCGTAGCTGATCATTGTTACAACGCTGTGGATGATCATGATATTGTCTTCTCCGACACCAAGGTGCTCTGCAAACCTACAGGCTATTATCAGAGATTTGCCCACGAGGCCATCCAGATTTACAAACATAGACACAACTTCAACCGAGAGGATGGTTTCAAATTGAGTAATCACTGGAAAGATGTTTTAAATCAAGTCAAACGTTAGCTTCCTTTCCATTTTTTGTACAGCCATTCCTCAGTGGTTGTTTATCACAGTGCCCTTTGATCGCGTTCACAGAGAGCTCGCATCGGGTAGCTCTTTGATGTGAGCTCACATCGAGGGGCTATTTGATGTGAGCCCTTTGATGTGAGCTCACACTGGGGGACCCTTTGATGTGGGCTCACATCGAGGGGCCCTTTGATGTGAGCCCTTTGATGTGAGCTCGCACCGGGGGACCCTTTGATGTGAGCCCAAATTGGGGGGCCCTTTTATGTGAGCTTTGAGAAGTGGGTGTTACCCGCAGCATTCTATCAAAAGGCTGTTTAGCCCAGCCCTCCCACCCACCCACGCCCCCTTACTGACTCCTCCCCCTCCCTTAACCTGTATATAATCCAAGGTCATCTCTGAACTGTGCTCCTAACATAGATATTCTGCGTTGACTTTTCCACCTGAAGACAGAAGCTTGTGTTGCCTCCGAAACGTCGTGATTTAATTGTTTTATTTTGTTTTATTTGATCTACGTGACTTTACCGAATAAAACCAAAGGGTATGAATCCTTGCAGTCACGAAAGCTTCAAATCTACAACTCAATAATCGCACCAACGAGATCCCCACACTCAACATCTCCCATCCACAACATGTAACT